TGGGGCAAGAGCAGAATTATTAACAAATTTGCTATAAAATGCTTTTTACTGCATCATGCAAGTATTCTATACTGCAAACAAGTACTCTTAGCTGAAATACAGGAGGGTATATAGTGAAACAAAATAAGGAAACAAACACACTAAATGGAGAAATTTTGCTTATATTGCAATAAAAATAGCTTGTATACGCACTTGCCCCGTTTACGAACTTACCCCACTTCATCTTAATTGGTATGTGACCACTCGAATTAATATACCGTCGAAAATACGTGTGGCGTCCATTTTTTTATTCCAACCAATTGGGACTCTTCCTAAGTCAACCTATGCACCAATTCCTGGGTTGACTGCAGTACATAACTTTATATCTAGATATTCAACTTTGGTAGCCATCTCGTATCATAAATTCTCTGCTACGATAAGTTGAACATCTTTCACACTTCGGTTAAGCAGCAAAATATGAGCAGTTTTAAGAAATATGAAAACATGTGAGCAAATATGCGAGTCACTATAAATAGAGTTGAGCTATTTTACACACCGGACTCGGTCGTTGGATAAAAATCGGTTGTAAAACATTCACGAGTGAATTTACATTTATGATCGTTAAACTACAAGCTGTAGAGAGCAATATATCACTATGCTGATAATATTAATGCTTAGGCAGCAGCGTCATCATCGATACTGCGCGAATGCATGTCGTACGCTCGGTAATGAGCAAAGAATAACGATGCTTGAGCAATATAAATAATCCACTCAACAAATCTACGAATGAAGTACGGTTGTTACGAGTTAATTCCTCTTTATCGCATCTCCGTTTATGCGTAGTTATCGATCGATTCGAGAGCTGCGAGAACAGAAACAGAATTTAAAAATTCAAACCCAGTTTGCTCATTTTTTATATTCTCTTTAAAAAAATGTGAGATTTACTGATTTTCAATTTGTATAGATATTTGCAATTTTATTTTATTAGGTATTTGCAGTTTTTATTTTAAAATCATTACAGTTAAATTTTTTCTGTTTGAAATTTGCAATTTTGAAAGTTTTGAAATTGGAAAATTTATTAATTGGAATTTTGTAAATTTATGAACGTTGAAAATTTATATTTTCATGTTTTTAAATATTTAAATTCTTAAATTATCAAGCTTCTACATTTCCAAAATTAGATTTTAAGCTTTAAAATTTCAAAATTTTTATATTTTTAAAATAAATTATTTCAAATTTTTATATCTCTAAAATTCTACATGTTCAAAATAAAAGAAATGTAAAAGTTTAATATTTCTAAATTTCTACAATTTCAAAATGAAAAAATGGATAATTTCAATACTCTTAAAATTCTACATGTTCAAAATAAAAGAAATGTAAAAGTTTAATATTTCTAGATTTCTACAATTTCAAAATGAAAAAATGGCTAATTTTAATACTCCTAAAATTCTACATTTTAAAAATAAAAAAATTGTAAAATTTTAGTATTTCCAAATGTCTACAATTTCTAAATAAAAAAATCATCAATTTTAATACTTCCAAAATTCAAAATAAAAAGAATGTCAATTTCAGTATTTCCAAATTTCCAAATTTCATTACTAATCTAAAAAATTCGCAAATTCAAAACTCTGTAAAATCAGGAAAGATCATGAACCGTGTAATCTCAGTATCAGAAAAATGATACCTAAAATATTACAGTGAATGCATGCAACATAAATTTGATTAATAACCCTGCAGTCAGCCAGATTCCGCCAAGCATATCCAAAGAATTCAGCACTGGAAAGGTTAACGCGTTCGAAACTGGGAATAAATTTCTAATCGTGTTCGAATCATATCACGAACAAGTCTACACGTTCTACGCTGCATTTCAACAAAACGATCTCGACCGTTCCGATAAGCCTCAGTTGTTAGATCTTCAAGTTTGGAGCACGGCAAAGAATCATTGCGAAGATTAATCGTAACGATTGCACAAACGTTTCGACTATCGCTAAGCCTATCACAAGTAGTAGTACGCGTTCGAGTATCCTTCACGAGGAACCTAAGGAAACAAGAGAGAAATAATCGAAGCATTCAAACCAAGGATCGGACTCGATCCCGTCGAATCGATCGATACTTCTCGATCAGCATAGATGCGTCTCAACTAAAGTAGGCAGTGAGTACAAAGTTATTCCTACCTCGTTACTCGAGTTCTCGATACACATGATACGACTGCAAATGTGTGTGGATGTTTCCTGAACATCGAAAGAGTATCCCGATTCGCTAAAAATAAGGAGAAAAATGAAGTATCTCGTGTGTCCACTGCCGGCCGATTCGACCAGGACTCTCGACCCTTGCCGAGGTCCAATCTCGCTAGATTTCACATTGCACATTTCTCGTGACTTCGTGTCGTACACCTAGAACACATTCGACCAGCCAACCTCGAACACGGATATCCGCGCCTAGCTGTCACGCTTGTTTCCCTTGCGATTGGTGGGCTTATTATTTCTTTTATTTTGATTATTCAATGTGCAGGTCTGTGCACGGACATACGCGTCGTTTTAGTGGTCCACCAGAAGCCATTCGCGATGAGGACAGCTCGCGAAAGCTCAGTTGTACGGCCATGAGTGCCTGATTGAAGTGACCACGTTCGAGGTAGGCGGGTCTTCCGGGCGTCACTTCTTCATGTCGTTCATCAACGTCCCGTCCTTGCTCTTGTTCGTGTCGAGATTCGATTGCTGACTACTTGTTACGCCGCTCCCGTTCCCTGGGTACATCTTCTCCAGGTGATTCAGCGACTCGCTTAGGAACTTCTGTAATGAAACGGGGATGACAGATTAGATGAATGTAATTGTTGGATGGAACAAGCGACTCCTCACCGATTGAGACGAGTCAAATATATTGTCATTTTATTCTGAACTTATTTTTATATATATGTTACGGGCTATGTGTTTGAACATTTTGTAAAAACGATCAGTTATATCTAGAACGCCGAAGATTTTGAGTAATGCATATAATGAGATGACGACGATAATCAGTGGGGGATGCTAGCTAGATTAGGTTAGCATGTGTCACGTTTGGTAATGACTTTAACGCGAACATTTTGTAATATGATTAATTATTATTATACAGAATGCCAAATATTTCAAATAATGATGTTCAATCGGGGGATGTTAACTAGGTTAGCATAGTAGTAGTAATCCTACGCGTAGTAATGCAATGCGTGGTAATTCTAAGCGTAGGAATCTAACGCGTGGTAAT